AACATCTCACTCGCACTGGTCCATCTCGGCCTCCTGAGAAGCACTCGGAGAGCATCATTATAAGCCACCTGCAGCTTTTGCATTGATCCTTTTTTGTCAAAGATGAGCTGAGTACAGCGGTGTACAGTAAGTCTTAAAGAGCCTTATCTTGACCTGGTCTGTGCAGAATCCAAATCTGCGTGCCAGAGTATTGGCCTGAGCATATAGCATCCTACATTGTCTCTTAATGTCATCATCATCAGAAAGGTCCTCTGTGACTATAAGCCCCTGGTATTTTATTTTGCTTGAGACAGTAAGTGAAGGGTTTGACAGATAAAAAGTTGGAAAATTCATATTTCTGTCCTCCTTTGTCCTACAAATCATGACCATACTTTTGGATGCATTAAACAGGAGGTCATGCTCTATACCGTACTGTGAACAGACATTAAGTAATTGCTGCAGTCCTGAAGTGCTGGGACTGAAGACCACCAAGTCATCAGCATACAAGAGGTGATTTAAAACACTATTTCCAGACACACAACCAGTCCGACAGGCTTTAGTCTCATAGAAAGTTTGTCCAGATAAAGATTAAAAAGAATTGGGGACAGAATCCCCCCTTGTCTCACCCCATTGCCAACCATAAATGGAGCAGACACACTGTCCCCCCATTTCACTTGCATTCTCTGTTGGCTATACCAAAACACCAAGATCCTCACAATATATTTCGGCACACCCTTCTGGATTAATTTTATGGATAATTTTCTATGGTTAACCCTATCAAAACCTTTGGACGCATCCAGAAAGCTGAGGAACTGAGGAATTTAGTTTTTTGTATGTAGCAATTAGTTCTTTAAAAACATAAATGCACATGTCTGTGCCCAACTGAGCCTTGACCAAACTGACCATCTGAAGATGTAATCAATTTAGAAATAAGATAGCTTCAAAGATTTTAGATACTACACTGGTCTGCAAAATTGGTCTGTAATTATCACTACTGGCAATCTTTCCTGTTTTATTATTTATAACCGGAACTAGCAAGACAGTCATCATCGAGTTAGGCAGGAACCCATGAGCGAGAAAAGCTGTAAAACAGATCGAAAGCAGAGGTGCCAACATTGCATTTGCAAATTTTAAGTGTTCAGCCGTGACACAGTCTATCCCTTTGGCTTTGTTATTTGACAAGTTATTAATAGCTTTATGGACTTCATATGTCTCACTTTGAACACAATTAAATAAGTTATTGTAATGTTGCTGCCACATTTCTGCAATATTATCAGAGCCAGAGATGCCATCAATAGCACATGGAAGAGGAACTTTCTTGGCTCGAACTTCTTTCCAAAAAGCATGTGAATTGTTACAGAGTAGTCTACCGGCCATAGAATCAGCTTTCATTGCCTCCTCATTTTTTACTATATAACGAAGAGCATACTTATATTGGGCCTTGGTGACCACTTTGTGCTCAGAAACTGGTCCATTTCTTGGTCTCCCTGCTTGAATCCACTCACTGGACGCCTCACATGCTTTCCTATAAAAATCAGCCACATGGTCATTCCAACTGGGTTATACTTTCCTTTTAGCTTTAGATCTGCATAAAGGTTTGCTTGAATCAATTAATGCTTTGATTATGTCATCATACATTGAACAGATAGCTAAAATATGTTCAGGGTTTTGACACTTGCTAAATCTGCACATGGCTGCTTCTCTAGGCAAGTAGATGCTTCCTAAGCTCTCTGTTCTCATATTGTAAGATACAATTGTGTGAGGGCGCTCTAATCCATATAAAAGCAATGTTCGTCGTTGTAATTTACCGTCAAAGGTAATGTCTGAAAGTTGATTAACATCCCAAACGGGATGTGATCCGTTGTTGATAGCTCATAGAAAATGTTCATGTCTGTTAGGGATGAATGTGCATCTGCGGTTGCCACACAGTGATCCAACCAAGAAGTTAAATACCACGCCTCACTTCTATACTGTATGTAAAACTGTCAGCCGGCATTAGGGCTTTAGATATGAAGGTTATTTTGTGTTTTTATTATCAACACTTTTTTTTGCTTTTGAATTCCATAAACTGTTACAAAAAAGTATTCAGTGTAAATAAATTCAATGTTTTAAAATTCAGTGTCCAAAATATTCAATGTTTTAAAATTCAGTGTCAAAATATTCAATGTTTTAAAATTCAGTGTCAAAAAATTCGTTGCATTTTTTTTCGCTGCGTGAAATGTCATGCTTTATTTCTGGGTAAATCAAGAACAAAGCAATCGATCAGCCAATCCTCCATGGATGTAGCCGGGGCCAGAACACGACTGTCTTGTTCATCTGAACATGGCGTCCACAGCAAACCAGTAAGTGTGTTTTCTCATCATTAGTTGGTATGTAACACGCAAACTACTATGTACTTTCTGAACATGTTTTTACCTTAGCTTATCATTAGCTAGCTCCGCGTAGGTGGATTCTATGTTTTGGCAATTCCCCAAAGCTAATCTTTGCTAATGCTAAGCTAAAATGAAACGCAGGAAAGCCAAGTACACGGGGGTTTGAGGTTCTTGTGTGACATATGTACTATGTTCCCAATTTCAATGTGTATATTATTCTAGCAGTGCAGCAAGGACGAAACCTGCTGACTGTTTTAGAGACAGAGCATGCTAAGGGGTTGTTGTTAATTATGTTGTTCATTTTTATGTATCTAGACCTCCAATAATTATTCTATCTTTACTCTTAAATTTTGACATCTTAGTGAAACCAAGATGGAATGAAGGATCGGTTCTTTAGGGAGAAAACAAACCCATGGATTCAATATTAATGCTACAGAGAGGAATCAGACTGATAAATCCCACTCTACCAGCCTCCTGTTAAAGACTGGACATGTATTTACATTTACTATTGATATGACATGTTAAGTTCATGTGTGTGTTTGTAAAGGCATCGTACTTCTGCTCCTCCTCAGAGCGTCTGTTTCTACTCTACTACTGTGTATTTATATTAAAGACCTTATGACGGGTTTTTAAAAAAAAAATAGTGGATATCAAAATTGCATGACAATGTCAATTTGAAAGAGATTCCGGAAAAAAAATCCTATATTTTATAAAAAGAACGTGTTTTTCATGAATTTAAGTTGTCTATGCTCTAACCTGTGTGTGACGTCATAGCGGGTTACGCCCATGCATTGAAAACCATGGATCTATGCCACAGGACTGCCTTTTCTCTCTTCTCTCCACTGATGCCCAACACAATACTGCCCTCTACAGGTGACAATTGCTCACTACACATAAATTGCCGTTTTGAGTGTGAAAAAATGTCCGAGCTGGGATTTGAACCCAAGTATCTGGATTGGCAGTCCATCAACACAACCACTGCGCCAAGAAAATGACGTGTTAGTCGCGCTTCTAGCAACCAACATTGTCATGTAAATGCGGGTTCGAATCCCGAGGACAGCATCTCGGAGGTTGATTAAAACAACCCAAAAGTGTTAATTTTTCTTCCTGGGTATTGAAAACCAAAATACCAAGCGGTGCTTTAGAGCAGTCTAAACGTTTTCATGTTCTAAATGAGGTTTGTCAAACTGGCGCTAGATGTGACTAGTCGCGTATTCTATGACGTAACCCAACGGTGCGTCTGTTTAAGTTTGTTCTGAAATTATATTCTTTTAGTACAAAAAGAGAAGGTAATTGGCAACAATATTAACGAATTAAAAAATATATAGATACCAATGTATGAAGTATGAACTTTATTGCAATTGACAGTAAAAAGAGCAATATTTGAACATTACAATTACAGATATAAATAAAATCTTTTAAAATTAGTTATTGCACATGAAGGAATGTGTTTCTAATGGAAGCACATTACCAAGTGAGGAGGTAGACATACCATGTGCAAAATGTGTCTATAGTGCAGTTAAAGACATTCTGACATTGAGATGCAGCTTAACAGTTGCAGTGCAAGTCGTGATTTGAACATTAGAAGATAAAAACACACTATTATTTTTTACTAAATTCTCTACAAACTACTCCATAAAATCAAAATATTCACATGAACAATGGTACACACTAAGATTCCTTTTTTTTGTCCTTTTTCTGGCCATAACCACGTCCCTCCATCTCTTTTCTCCACTCATCCAAACTCTGGGCAGCTGTGGCTTCACAATACCAGTTTCCAAAATACTGGTGATGAGAGTTAGGGTCTCGGTTCTTCCCACACTGTTTGCAAAGTATGGTGTCACTTTTTCTCACATAGCTCCTCTTTCTCTTTCCACTTTCTTCCTCCTTCTGCTTTTTTCTTTGATACACTTGTGTAGTGTATGGAATATCTGTAGAAGGAAGTGTTTGTGGGGCTGGCAGGATAAATCGAGGTGCTTGCATGATGACTGGGGAAGGAAAATGCAAATTAGGGGGTGTCAGTTGCATTATTTGTGAAACAGGTTGGCCAATGATGGATACTGGCTTGAGTGGTCCAGGGGCTGGCGATGGTTGCAATCTTATTGTTGGAGGAGGGACAAGTTGAGGCGCTGGAAGGGGCCTGATCAATCGAGGGACTAGTGCACGTTGTGGAGCTGGGTTCACTGTCTGGAGAAACTATGGAGGTTGCTGGAGTGCTGCAAGGAAAGGAGGCTGCGCATGGGTGGATGGAGTGTGCCTGTGTTTGATTTGAGCCGTCCCTGCAGTGTCAGGGGGAAGTACAAACACATGGGGATTGTCTGCACTGGGAGTGAGAGGCTTGGCCATAACAGCAGGCAGCAGGTTTGCAGAGGTCAACACCGAAGCTGGTGCAGAAATGCCTTGCTCAAGCACACTTTTCTCCTGCTTTCGTTCACGTTTGTTGTACCTGTTCATTAAGTTGAGAAAGTATGAGAACATACTAAATATAAGGTTGACTCATTTTATGTATGAAAACTCACCAACTAGAAACTGTAGTCGTATTGATCACTGGAAGTTGAATGGTAGTTTTCTCCATTACAGTAGCATTGTTTAGTACAATCTGCCGAATATGGAGATAATCCCTAATCACACAGCTCCAGCGCTCCTGCCTCACTCCCTTAATACGACGTGCTCCTTTGTATTCACAACAGAGCCGGACAAAAAGGCCTTCACAGACTCTGTTGCAGTCTGGCCATTGTGCTGGACTTTTCCCACCTGCAAAGCACCTGCCCAAACACAAAATTGCATTACAAATAGTTTTTATATATATTTGATAAGACTAACATGCTTTGAATAGACCTATACATTAAATTTAAAATACTTGCCTTTTTGTACTTTCCACACCAGGAGAAACGGTTGTCTTTGTTGCCCTGAATCTTCCTTTGGTCAGCGTGTTTTGGAAGCGTGGAGAATAAACTGTGCGGCTCTTGTCATACTCCTGCAAATGGCTCCATAAGGTGACAATTTTAAAAGCCTCTTCATTGGACAAGGCCAAGCCATGATCCCTCAGACTGAAAAGATGGTCAACTAAGTCCTGGACCTGTTTGAAGCCTTGGATGTTGTCAGGTCCAACCGACTCCTGCTACAACACAAGCATATTCATTACAGTGAATGTTATTGTATATAATATATAACATAATAATGCACTTCAATAGGTTTCAGTTAAAAAAGGACAGTACATCACAAATTGTGGATCCAAGTGATGGCGTTTGATCGGCAAGGCTTGGATCCTGTGAGGAACCTTGAGAAGAACAAACAAACAAGTATCAACAAATGAAAGGAATAACCTTGTTAATTTCTACAAAATGACCAAAACCTACTCAGAGTTGTTAGCGATGCAGAGGGCATGGATGAGGCAGAAGGATGCATGAGGGAAGATGTGGCAGACAGTGAGGAGGTGACAGTAGTACTGACTACAGAGGCAGCAGTAGTACTAGCTACAGAAGTACTAGCTACAGATACTGCAGTAGAAACTGCCGAGGTTGTAGAGGCAGGTGAAAAGACAGACCCAGGAGTTTCAGATATATCAGGTGGATGAACAGCAGCAGCAGACGCCTCACAGGCTTTAGGTTGTGGATTCAAGATTTCAGGGGATAATGGTGTGTTATGCTGATTGGGCCAAATGATGTCCATGGATGGCACAGTTGGATCCTCCACATCAATGGGTTGTACCTCAGGCTCTTCATCAGAAAGTGCATCAATCTCCTCCATTTCCATCGATGCCAGAGTCATTTTATAATCCTCCATCACAGTATTATTTTGATCATATAAATACTCAATGCCTATGAGTTCTCCTAAAAGACAAAACATTTGATTATGATTTGATTAAACACAATAATAACATACAAAAATCTATCCATCCATCCATCTTCTCCCCTTTTATCCATTTCTGGGTCAGGAGGTGGCAGTCAGAGCACCATTATTCTATTTGACGTGTTATAGCCGTACCAGTGTATTTCATTGGCACAGAGTAGTCCAGCATTGGTCTTCCATAAATCTCTTGTGATAGCTGGTTAACAGCATATCTGAGAAGGCCACTGTAGGAGTGAGGTTTGTCCTCTCTCTGAGCTGCCATTGAACGGTCTTCATTCCACCGTGCAAGACCATCCACCAAATAGGCCTGGAAGAATGTGTCACTCGCCAGTGTGCCTAAAATAACATATGTACAATAAAATATTGCATTAATAGAAATCATTAAATTAATATTGGTGTTTGTTTAATATATTCTTGTTATTTCTTTAGTTTCACCTGGGATGAAGCGATTCATGTGTAAGTGGAAGTTCTCCAGTGATGTAGAACCACGAGCACAACGATATGTGGGAAGAACATGGCCAGCCTTGGTGACTGTGCCAGTCTGGGTGTAAAGCTGGAAGCCTGGTGGGTCCTGGAGGCAGGGAATGTGGCGGCGTTGTGCTTTCCAGATCTCTTTCATTCTGGCAGAGTTTATCAGTGGCACACCCAGAGAGTTGCAGCCACGACCTCCATCATAGGCTGCAAGTAACTGTCCCAACATGACCTCCATCTCTGCAGCTGGCCGCACAGCTCTCTTGCAATGAAGTTGCATCTCTTTCTTTGTGATGCTCTTCCTCACGTCATCATCAGATGGATGTAAATGACAGGCCTCAAGCTCAGCACGCATGGCCTCAATGAGCCGCTGAAGATCACTCTGGTCCCACACAAATATGCAGCGGCTCAGCTGAGCCATGAAGCCACTGTACAGTGGATGTGAGTCTGTGGTACATCCAACAGCAATCCTCCGCATGAAATGCCACACATCCAGGCGGATGCACAGGTTTGGCCAACCACCAAAGATCTTGTGCAAGTGGGAGTTTTTACAGCAGTCTCGATCTGTGTAAAGTACTCGTGGGGGAGCAATGTTGGCCTGTTTGTATCGATTTACAAGGCCCTCTGCCATTTTTGCAAGTCCCCAGCCCTCACTCGCTGTGAGCACAGACATGATGACTTGTCCAAACTCATTGCCAACATTTGTAGCCCAGGCAGCAGTAGAACGAGCAGAACCAGCTAGTTTCCTCACAATCTTTTTTGTTGAGTCCAGTTTCAGTACCTGCCCAGACAGGGATGTGATGGAAGCCTTTACCTCTCCTAATCTGCTCAGGACATCTTGTGCATAAACCTGCATTAACCAGCGGTGTTTTGGCACAATGGGCATAGGTGGCAGATCCACAGGAGGAACAGGTAAAATGAGTCTGCTCGCCACAGCCTGGGCAATTCCTCTGTACTGTGTGAGGAATTTAATTTGCTGCTCTAACCACCTTTCTGCATGCTGCTCCTGAAGTTGTCTTTTAAGTTGACTGCTGCTGTTGCCTAAACCTCTCTGGCGCATAAGACGGACAACTTCAATGTCACATCCAAGCTTCAATGTCAGCTGACAAGGAAACTGAATGCAATGACCAATGTCAAGCTGTGAAACAATGGAATGACTCCAAGCAATCACTTTCCTTTTGCAGGTTTTACATGCAAGGTATTCTGATGCCATGTAATAACACGTGCTCACACCAACCACCTGCCGAACCTTCTGATAGATTCCTGCAGATGTGAGCTCTGTTTTGCCACATTCAGAGTGAGGACAGAGAAGTTTCACCCTCCAAAGCTTTCGTGGCATCCACAGAAACAGGGGGTGGCCAAAGTATTGCTCAAATGAAGGCACTGCACTGGAACATAATGGAGGACGAGGAGGATACCACCACATTCTGTCCACTTTATCAATATTTAGCTCTGGCTGATTTGTGCGGGACCAATGAAACAGTTCTTTTGCAATCCAGCGCTGGTCAACTTCTGGAAGTGTCTTTTGCCATCCAGCAGGCAAGCAAACTCTGGGTCCTATATAACAAAATACAAAGCAGTAAATATCTCAATTTCAAAACTTTAAACAAATTAGTAATTAAAAATAATTTATCAGTATCTGCTTTATCTGTGTATCTGCTTCTTTCAAAACTATTGTTTTTAAATAAATACATCTAAAATATGCATTCAAAAGTAACTTATGTAGTAAGTTTCAGAAGTAATTGTTTGTATGCTACTTTTACTGAAATACATTTTTGACAGCAGCACTTATACACAAAATAGAGACTGTAACATGTAATTCAACCTGGAGAGACTACAAGAGACGAGATGCGTTTAAGAGTTGTTTATTTTATGGATTGAGTTCGTTTATTGGTTTGGAGCTTAGGCCCCGGCTGTGGCCGTGCTCTGGAGAGATCTGCGCCTGGGTGCAGATCATGATCCCCCGGGGCCTAGACACTGGTGGTGGCAACAAGGCAAGGTGAATGTGAGAGTGAAGAAATCCTGAGGCGGAGGTGGGGAGGAGGTGGTTGCAGCTTGAAGTCCGTTTGGTGAGCTGTGCTCTGCTTTGCTCTTAAACGCTGGCTTGATTGACACGGCTGCGGGGAGTTGATTAAGACAGGCTGAGTAAGGCGTGGTCAAGCCTGGCGTGATAACGTAGGTAGTCTACCATACTGAACCTCCGCTTAAGCTCCATTTCAACCTGGAGAGACTACAAGAGACGAGATGCGTTTAAGAGTTGTTTATTTTATGGATTGAGTTCGTTTATTGGTTTGGAGCTTAGGCCCCGGCTGTGGCCGTGCTCTGGAGAGATCTGCGCCTGGGTGCAGATCATGATCCCCAAAAAGAGAGCTTGGCTAGCGATGCGTTTGCCATGACTTGGTTGCTGCGTTTATGGAAGGCGCATGGTGTGAGTGACTGTTTCCGTGCGCGAGCTCGGCTCTGGCGCTAGGCGTTGGCACGCGCACGAGCTCGGCTCAAGTGCGCGGCGTAATGCCCGGGCGCGAGCTCGGCTCTAGCGCTAGGCGTTGGCACGCGCACGAGCTCGGCTCAAGTGCGCGGCGTAATGTCCGTGCGCGAGCTCGGCTCTAACACTAGGCGTTGGCACGCGCACGAGCTCGGCTCAAGTGCGCGGCGTAATGTCCGTGCGCGAGCTCGGCTCTAACGCTAGGCGTTGGCACGCGCATGAGCTCGGCTCTAGCGCTAGGCGTTGGCACACGCACGAGCTCGGCTCGAGTGCGCGGCATGCTGGAAATGAGGAGTTGCCACCACCAGGAGATGCATACGTACTTATATGAGAGGAGGCGCTGGGCTGCCAGAACGGATGAATGTGGTAGAGAACCGGGGACCAAGCTCCTGGAGAGATGATTGAGGGAGTCCCAGGGCAGCAGTCCAAGTGGCTGCTCCTATCCGGAAGGAGTGGCGGGTGTAGAGAAAGGAAGAGAGGTTACATGCAGGGAGCAGAGGTTTTGAATTTGTTCAGACCAGGGGGTCGTCGAGGGATTGTTTAAGGAGTAATTATAGTCTATGAATGTTGATAAAATGTCCATAGATGTTGTAGAATGTTAAAGTATCCTGGATCATCACCACGGGCCTTCTAGTTGGACACTAACTGTCCAGACCCTCCTGCATGGCAAGGAAAACTCACAAAACCCCGTGGGGAAAAAAGTGAGAAACCTTCGGAAGACCCTACATAGAGAGAGGGAATCCACTCCACGGACAGACAGGCTAGTCGTCCAGGACCTAAACTACAGAACAAGGACCATGCCAATACTCCTTTAAGGATCTTCTTATGAGGGTGGAGCAGTGTGACTCGAAGTGGATTTTAGAGAATGTATTTAATGCCGATGTAGATGAGGCAGTGACGGCAGTACCCGCGATGCTGATGTCCAGAGACTGAGAGTGTGCAGTGAGAGGGAAAGGAGAATGCTGAATGAAGGATGAACTGCTGGTGTTTAGAGCGCTGATATTCGAACATGATTCCACTTGGGGAGACTAGAAGGTGAAAATGAGATTCATGAAGTACACTTACCCAGGAAGATTGATGTTCGATAGGAGATCTCTGGACCCCCAAAAACCAACGCACAAGGGCCCGGTCAGAATGAGGGCCAGGGTGCGTCAGGTAAGGCGAAGCGTGAGACAGGCCCGGCGGCAGGAGCCGCACCAGGAGACCAGGAGAGAATATGCCTGGGGAACATGAGAAGGAGCACCGCCTACAGCCACTCAGAGTGCACGCAAACCGTGGCGGGCAGTGCTGCACACCAAAAGCCAATGAGTGCGGCCTGGGGAAGATAGCCGGCCAGGTTTGAAGGCCACGCCGACAGTACTCATGCAGTCTTAGCAGGCCAGCGTTGCAGCAGGCCACCGTCGCGGCGTTGTAGCAGAGCTTTGGTGCGGCGTTGCGGCATCGCGTTCCTGCGAAGCTGAAAAGAGAAACCTCGAACCACTATCACTCGAGTGAAAAGGACCAACGGGCAGTGTCAGACCGCATCTTCAGTCGGACCAACGGGCAGTGTCAGACCGCGTCTTCAGTCAGACCGCGTCTCCAGTCAGACCGCGTCTTCAGTCAGACCACTGACCTGATCCTTCGATGCCGGCTCTTCCCGTCATTGTGAAGCAGAACTCTCCTAGCGTTGGATTGTTCACCCACCAATAGGGAACGCGAGTCCATGGTCGACACTGGTTCCACGATGAATGGATGAGAGCACACGAATGCGTCGAAGCATGAGGTCGAGAATGCGGCAGGAGGCGGAGACCGACGTGGAAGCGTGTGCGCCGACCGACGTACGGCAATGAAGCGTGCGGCCACCGACGCGTGCTGCGATGAAGCGTGCTGCGTCAAAGCGTGCGGCGTCGTTGAAGCGTGCTGCGTCAAAGCGTGCGGCGTCGTTGAAGCGTGCTGCGTCAAAGCGTGCTGCCTCAAGGCGTGCGCCGTCGTTGAAGCGTGCGCCGTCGTTGAAGCGTGCGCCGTCGTTGAAGCGTGCGCCGTCGTTGAAGCGTGCGCCGTCGTTGAAGCGTGCGCCGTCGTTGAAGCGTGCGCCGTCGTTGAAGCGTGCGCCGTCGTTGAAGCGTGCTGCATCAAGGCGTGCAGCGTCGTTGAGGCGTCAAGGCGTGCGGCGTCCAAGCGAGCGGCGTCCAAGCGAGCGGCGTCCAAGCGAGCGGCGTCCAAGCGAGCGGCGTCCAAGCGAGCGGCGTCCAAGCGAGCGGCGTCCAAGCGAGCGGCGTCGTTGATGCATGCGGCTGCGTCAAGGCGTGCGCCGGCGTCAAGGCGTGCGGCGTCCAAGCGAGCTGCGTCGTTGATGCGTGCGCCATCGTTGATGCGTGCTGCGTCAAAGCGTGCTGCGTCAAAGCGTGCTGCGGCGTAGCGTGCTGTGTTGTTGAGGCGCCAAGGTCGATGCGTGCGCCTTCGTCGATGCGTGCGCCTTCGTCGATGCGTGCGCCTTCGTCGATGCGTGCGCCTTCGTCGATGCGTGCGCCTTCGTCGATGCGTGCGTCTTCGTCGATGCGTGCGCCGTCGTCGATGCGTGCGCCGTCGTCGATGCGTGGAGGAGGAGTCGAAGCGTGGAGGAGGAGTCGAAGCGTGGAGGAGGAGTCGAAGCGTGGAGGAGGAGTCGAAGCGTGGAGGAGGAGTCGAAGCGTGGAGGAGGAGTCGAAGCGTGGAGGAGGAGTCGAAGCGTCGTCGAAGCGTGCGGCCACCGAAGTGGCGTCACCGAAGCGGCGTCACCGAAGCGTGCGGCCACCGAAGTGGCGTCGGCGAAGCGTGTGGGCGTTGAAGTGTGCGGCCGCCGACGTGTGCTGCGATGAAGCGTTGAAGTGAGGCCGTTGAAGCATGCCTGAAGGCCAACGCACTGGTTAAAAGTGCTGGTTGTCGAACAGTACAGAGGGGCTCGGCCGCGCTCCGACCAATCAGAGCAGCTCATCAGACACGGACAGCCGGGAGGCAATGCAGTGGGCAAAACTTACAGTCCACGGTCAAATAGACAGCGCAAAGGCCAAGCAGACGACAAATGTTATAGTCCATGGTTACAACTGACAGCCTGAAGGTCAATGCAGTGGGTAAATGTTCAGACCATAGTCAAACGGACAGCCTGGAGGTCACTGCATTGTGTAGAATGTTCATCCCATGAGTAAAACGGACAGCCAGAAGGCCAATACAGTGGTTAAAATGTGCGGTCCATGGTGAAAACGGACGGTCTAAATGCCAGTGCAGATGGTAAAACGAACAGCCTGCAGACAATGTATCGGGTAAAAACACAGCCTGCGAGCCAATTCGGCGGGATTAACTGACACGCCGCAGTTCAGTGCAGTTCATGGTAGTGGGGAAAACAACGAAACGGACACTGTACCGTGAGTGGAGGCAGGGAGACGGGTGGACAGAGGCAGCAGACGACGGCAGGCAGACAGAAGTCCCGTTCCCGGCATGGAAGCGGCAGGGTGCGCGGAGCCTGGCCGCGAGCGCAGCGGCCACGGGGAGACGAGCGGCAGCGAGTCCGCAGGAGAGGAGCCGCGGTGGAGACACAGCGACCATGGCGCGCAGCCCCAAACATGTGATGTTGAAGAGGAGCCGCAACCATGCAGGACGAACAATGTGCGAGGCGTGAGTAAACAAAGTGACGAAGAGCAACCCATTGCAGCTTGAAGTCCGTTTGGTGAGCTGTGCTCTGCTTTGCTCTTAAACGCTGGCTTGATTGACACGGCTGCGGGGAGTTGATTAAGACAGGCTGAGTAAGGCGTGGTCAAGCCTGGCGTGATAACGTAGGTAGTCTACCATACTGAACCTCCGCTTAAGCTCCATCTGTACTTTAACTAAATATAGATCTTGTGCAGGTGTGAACAGTGCATACTTATATGTTGTTCCTCCGCCCGAGCGGCCGCTTCCATAAGTTCAGCATCATCTTGCTCTGCAGGGATGGACTCTGAAGAGAGCACACGAGAAGCTGCTGCTGTGTCACTCAAAGAGGAAGACAAGTCTCTTTGTGGCTGCCTCGTGCGTGCACTCGCCAAAGCTGCAACAAAACAACACATATTTATAGATCGCATCCTCCTGTGTGTTACACACAAAGTGTACTTACATGGTGTGACTGTACTTGGACCAACAAGCCTCTTAATGTCCCGAGACAGACTTCTGGCTTCCTTTGCCTTCCCGATCAAAAGGGAGCGGAGAGAGGAAACAGGAGCCGTCCGCAGCTTTGGCATTCTAGTGGTACCAGGAGCAGAGGGACCAGGAGCAGTGGTACCAGGAGCAGAGGGACCAGGAGCAGTGGTACTGGACTGAGTGGCAGCGTCTGATTTTGTGACATATATTTTTGACATTTGCTGTGCTTTCAAATCAATTGCCATTCTCCCACAGCCAAACAGTTCCATATATTCTTTGAATAGTTCTTTATTTTTGAGAATATGTTCATTTTTTTCTGTTTTGGCCTTGCCGGATTCAGCCTCTCTTTTCATTGAAGTGACCAGATAGGCAGCCCATCCAAGTGAATGTTCTAAAATCCACTTAAAGGTCTGTCCCCGATAAATACCAAACTGGATTTCAAAGAAACCAAGTAAATGTTTTCTGTTATTTGGGTCTCCATTACACTGTGAAAGGGATTTCTTGGCCTTGTCTAGGACTTCCTGTGAAGAAAGAGGTTTGCACCATGGTCTGTTCTCACGTTTGACTCTCGTGGCTTCATGAGAATCTGAGAGACTTGGTGTTCCATCCGATTTTTTACGAAAACGTGGCTCCATTTGAAGGCCTAAAGATGAAGATTAGTTTAAACTTTACTGTCATTACACTTGTTCAGAACAATACTAATAATAATACTGGTATATGCATACATGTACTACATGTATATATACATATATACATACGTGTATTTTACAAAGCAATTAAACATTTGGTTATTATACGTATGACGGGCCTGTTGTGTGTTAACGACGGAGTTATCGCCGTATATAACGTTAGCACGACACAACAGTCTTATTACCTCGTTCATAACATTTGAGAGAATAAATGTGTTTATCTTTATCGTTAACAATATATACGAACGTACTGTAGGTCTACAGTACGTTGCGCTGCTAACATATGTAATGTCGCCGTCGTAGCACACGTATAATCACTGTTTGTTTACTCACCAATCTCTAAAAAAGTCCCGAAAGTTAAAAGATACTGACGTCTCCAACTTCGTTGTGAATCAGCTGGGCATCGTCCTGGTGGAAAACCTGGTTTAACTTCGCGTTGACTACTACCCGTACTGTACAGTCCTCAATAACGACACAATAATGTTCGCGTGCTATCGGTGCTCTCTAATCTTGGTTGCTTTGCGGCAAGCGATTGGCTGGAATCACGGTTCATTCGTGGCTAACTTGTTTTGGATTGGTCGAATCTTGGTACACGCACTGCTACGTAATTGGCCGAGGAGCCACGATCTAAGAGCGACAGGGAGCGCCATCTCAGTGACAACGAAATATTGTATTCTAGTAGTTATTTTAGACTCGCTGTACACGGCCTTGTCATCTTGAATATCCGCGAAAAAAGAACAAATACCAAATTGTAAACAACTTACAGCGTTGAAACGTACCCGTTCTGACGTCACCAAGGGCTGTGAAGTTTTTTCGTTTCTAAGGGCGTTGCTATGGGGTTATTTCGATTTGGGGGGATCAGACAAAAAAACAACAACTGATTTTGAAACCTTTAGTAGTTCTCTTCTAATATAAAATGGTATTAAAACTGTATTTCTAAATAAATCAAACCCGTCATAAGGTCTTTAATTAATTTGACTGGGACAGTACATGTATATGAACATATATGTCCACATGTCTGATTGTAACAAAAGGCTCATTTTAATCCCAGAAGAACCGGGTCTGTTTAAATTAATTATTTTTTTGTGTGAATTTCTTTTCCAGAGGCAGCTGTCTTCCAGAGGCCATCAGTTCTTCATCCATTTCCATCACCTCCAGCTTCTGTGGATTACGATATAAACTACAACGACCAATATGTTCATTTGTTTTATTAATTACAAGTCATGGATAGTTAGAACACATCTCTCATTTTCTGAAGACATATGCAGCAGCAACAACAGCAGGTGCCTGGACGTCTGCCTCTGACACAGCTGTCTTTTCTACGGTGGACTCATCACAACCTGGAATAAAATAATTATGATTTAGTTCTTTGTGTGCAATGAAAAGTAATGTATGCGTTTTTTTAACCAACCACACAATCCGTGAGAAACATGTTTCATACTGTAGCTTGTATTTAAGTAATACTTCTAATCAAATACATTTAAGCCATTAACTCTGACATGATCAGGTCTGTTGGATTTCAAGAGGCAAGGAGCTTGTGCTCAAAAAGTAAGTACTCATGACCTTAAATCTGGTCTGTAAGTTCAAGTCCACGCATCTTCTGTGTCCAGCTTCATGTTCACAGATGTCCCCCTGTCATCAGTAAATGCACATAATCACATTTTTACTTAATACAAATTACTTTACAACACAGTGATGCACAAACGAGGGCCATAGCAAATCCATCAATCGCACTAAACACATTATTTACATGAAATATCACATTTTTAAGACTAATGATAACTCTTAAAACAATTGTTATAACAGAGAAAGTATGATACAAAAGCCGCCTTTTTGGGTTTTCATATTTACTTCCACAGTTAAGACTGTTAGCATAAGGGAGCTCTCAAAATGACTCCCAGGGCATGACGCTCCATTCTGGGCATCAGCACAGCTCTACACCCGTGGTTAGCGTGTTAGCATTGGAGCTCAAGGCTGGAGAAAAAGTCCAAAGAAAATCTGTTTAATCACCAACAGACCTCTGATATAACAATAGAAGGGTATTTCCCACCTCCAATGTTAATACAATTAAAAGTTATGTCCTAATTAAAACGTAAATTCAACATTTACCTTTACCTCATCATGGCCGCTCCTCTCTCCGCTCCGGGATCCACGCTACAGCGGGACGCTCACGTGCAACAGCACGGCCTGATAATAGTGTGCAGCGTCCGAATCGCCATCAGAATGAGTCCACTCACTCAGTCACTCACTCACAATTGTCCCGCACGGTATAGTGTGGACATTCGGATAAAGCCAAAGTCGTGTTCTGGCCCTGGCTACATCTATGGAGGATTGGCTGATCCATTGCTTTGTTCTTGATTTTTAACAAAGCATGAAATTTCAAGCAGCGAAAAAAAATGCAACGAATTTTTGGACACTGAATTTTAAAACATTGAATATTTTGACACTGAATTTTAAAACAATGAATTTTTGGACACTGAATTTTAAAACACTGAAATTTATTTACACTGAATACTTTTTTGTTACAGTTTATAGAATTCAAAAGCAAAAAAAAATGGTTGATAATAAAAACACCTTCACAATACCACGCCTCACTTCTATACTGTATGTAAAACTGTCAGCCGGCATTAGGGCTTTAGATGACAGAAATAAGCTGTTATCCTCACAAAACTATTCCAGATGTTTAGCAAACAGGGACTCTTGTCAGAAATATCTGAATTCATATCACCAATGACCAGTACATTAAAAAACTTGTTATCCTGTATAAAAGTTAATGAAAGCAAGTCTATTTAAAAATTCAGCTTCATTAAGGGTGCACTCATACGGGGTGTACACGTTCAGAATAACACTTTCCTTGCCAATATGTGATAACTGTATTGCTATACACCAATCCATTTAGAGTCTTAGTACATTCACACAACAGATGGGACACAAGACCACAGAGAAGGGAAAAATCAATTAAATGTTTAAACTTCATTTCCAAAAGCATTCACAAAAACAATAAAATATTAGTTCCATGTACGCAGGCATTCGTGGTAAAATTAGAAATGGGTGGTGTACGCCCTGTGGTTTTTGTACGTCTCTGTGTCACTGTGTACAGGGGGATTATGGGACGCACAGTGAAATACACCCATACAAAAACTCATGCTTCAATGGAACTGAACAACGGCAGAAACAAGTCTTCAAAATGGACTGAAAATCTTGAGTAATGAATGGAGCCGTGGCCTTACTACACTATTATGGAAAACCAAGGTTATTTATTCTTCTTCGTTGTTGATTGAGCTTAAAAGCAGAAACAGATAAGAATGTTAACACTGCTATTCTACTTTTGTTTTTTATAGGAACTGTATTTCTCCCTACATTTTCAATTTATAATTTATTATTTAAAATGCAAAACTGATTCATAAATATTAGTTTTTTTAAAGATACATTTATCTTTAAAATAATAATAATAATATTTATGATGTGCCCTGTGCTCCTCTCGCTTTGGTCCATAGTCTCTGCTTGTCTTTGTCCGTCTGTTTTTCTGGATCCTGACTTTTGTTTGGGTTTTGAGGATGTTTTTACCTATTTTATCATCTTTATTAAATCATTATTTTGCATTTCCTGCATTTTGAGTCCTCCTCCGTTCCACCATGTGGCAGATCTTTCAGAACCCAGTGTTTTCCCTTCACTCGGGAAATTGCCAAAACAAATTAGAAGGCATGATTTTTGTTTTAAAAAATCAAAAGCTCCTCTGAACATTAAAGTGCACCAAGTATGTAATGAGAGCATGTGTAAAGATGGAGCAGGGATGTGTTTGTGTCAAAAGACCATGATATTAGCATCAATGAAGAGAAATACTGCTTTTGATGATGGACAATGTTATATCAAGAATAAAAACTCAACTTTCCCAAAGGTCTCCCATCACAGTACAAACAAGCCCTGCCCTACTTAGCAATTATATTTGAAATTCCTGTTCCAAAGTTATGAGACGCCTTTGATTTGTGGCTGATCATTTTGGATAAAGCCAATAATCCTTATGCTTAGTGTTTTACGTTTGTCAAATTCAAAACGACAGCTGGGAGCACTGGAGAAAAAGAGGAACCTAGTGTCTAGTTGAAAAGGAAATAAAAACCTCTGGGAATGACTTATAATAGTTCATAATGCAGGCTCCACAGTTTTTTATTAAAGCAGTATTTGTGGAACATGTGGATGTACGACAGAAGTGTTGGGGAAAAGGAACACAGGTCACTGTAACGTCTGGTAAGTCCAAAATGTCATTATTTCATTTATTTGTTTTCATTTTTTATGCTTCAGTTGTTTAGAGTTGACATAACATTGAAATAATCCACTGCGATGTGTAAAGTCTATATATCCTGGTAAAAAGGATCTGCGGGGACCGTCACATCAGGTACAAAAAGAATCGTTATGATGTATTTTTCTATTTAATTGGTGTGCTTTTTGTGACATTTTAACATAATAGTAAAATATTGGCAATCATCACAAAGAGATTCTTCGAAAGTTGGACGAGTCTTAAAATTGTGCGTCATCACAGTTTAAAAAAACCTCTAATATGAAGTGTGTTCTTTCATTTTTATTTTTGATTTCAGACACAAAAGTTATTAGTGCAATCTTTGACATAGTGTGAATTTGCTCTGATTTTAGCTTAAACAGGATTATTTTAGTGTCTAAATAAAACACATACATTGAACACATCGATATAACATTTTTAAATTGAACGGCTGTCATCCAAATCCAAGAAATAGAAATCAAAATTGTTTTTTGTTGGATCACTGACTTTGTAAACTGTGACTCTGGTATTTTGACTTTTGGGGAAAAGGCACCGCTGTCACCGTCACATCAGGTCAGACTTTCAAATGAACACTTCTAAGTTCAATTCAAGTTGATACCATAGACTCTCGTAGCTTTTCTAAGACATGAGATTGTTAATTGTCCAAATTCCATTCATATGTCTATTTCATTTTGGAATTCAATCTGAAGAGACCAAAGACACGATAAATACATTAAAATGATTTTATTTGTTTGGCGCATTGACCCCGGCAGTGACACTTGCAGCTATGAGATCGATTGCAGCTGAGATGATCTCAGATCCCCCGGGTCAATCACTGGTGGTGGCTAGAGTATGGTGTGAATGGGGCGTAGGCGGAGCAGGAGCCGGAGTGGGAGCCTAGAGCGGGAGCCAGAGCGGTGAGCCAGAGCGGGAGCCAAGAGCCAGAGGGGGTGCTGGGGAGGTGGTGGGTGTTTAAGGAGCCTCAGGAAGCGTTGTTTGTCAGGAAGTGGCTGCCTTTTAAACTGCCCGCTTTGCTCTGAGAGGGTTGGCAGGAGGCTGGCCTGGCTGTGTGATGGGCTGAGGCTCGAGGCTGGCAGAGCTGTTGTGATTGGCTGAGGCTCGAGGCTGGCAGGCACTCGGTCTTTCAGTCTGAAACATCCGCTTGAGCTTCATTTCAATCTGAAGAGACCAAAGACACGATAAATTACATTAAAATGATTTATTTGTTTGGCGCATTGACCCGGCAGTGACACTTGCAGCTATGAGATCGATTGCAGCTGAGATGATCTCAGATCCCCCAAAAGAGGAAGCCACGCTATGTGTGCCGGGGAATGCGCAGGCCTCCCGTGGGAAGCTGCCTATCTGGAGGCGTGGGAGCCTTGCATCGGGGCGCATTGCATCGGGCAGCATTGCTATCGGGGCAGCATTGCATAGAGGCTGCATTGCGTGGAGGCTGCATTGCATAGAGGCTGCATTGCATAGAGGCTGCATTGCATTAGATTGCATAGAGGCAGCATTGCATAGAGGCAGCATTGCATAGAGGCAGCATTGCATAGATTGCATAGAGGCAGCATTGCATAGATTGCACTAGAGGCAGCATTGCAATAGATTGCATAGAGGCAGCATTGCATAGAGGCAGCATTGCATAGAGGCAGCATTGCATAGAGGGCAGCATTGCATAGATTGCATGGAGGCAGCATTGCATAGAGGCCGCATTGCATAGAGGCAGCATTGCATAGAGGCAGCATTGCATAGATTGCATAGAGGCAGCATTGCATGGGAGGCAGCATTGCATAGAGGCAGCATTGCATGGATTGCATAGAGGCAGCATTGCATAGAGGCAGCATTGCAGCATTGCATAGAAGGCAGCATTGCATGGATTGCATAGAGGCGAGCATTGCATAGAGGCAGCATTGCATCATTGCATGGAGGCAGCATTGCATGGAGGGGCAGCATTGCATAGAATTGCATGGAGGCAGCATTGCATAGAGGCAGCATTGCATGGATTGCATAGAGGCAGCATTGCATAGAGGCAGCATTGCATCATTGCATGGAGGCTGCATTGCAGCATTGCATAGATTGCATAGAGGCAGCATTGCAGCATTGCATAGATTGCATAGAGGCAGCATTGCATGGAGGTGGAAGCATTGCATAGAGGCAGCATTGCATGGGATTGCATAGAGGCAGCATTGCATAGAGGCAGCATTGCATCATTGCATGGAGGCAGCATTGCAGCATTGCATGGAGGCAGCATTGCATAGATTGCATGGAGGCAGCATTGCATTGAGGCAGCATTGCATGGATTGCATAGAGGCAGCATTGCATAGAGGCAGCATTGCATAGAGGCAGCATTGCATCATTGCATGGAGGCAGCATTGCATAGAGGCAGCATTGCATGGATTGCATAGAGGCAGCATTGCATAGAGGCAGCATTGCATTGCATGGAGGCAGCATTGCAGCATTGCATAGATTGCATGAGAGGCAGCATTGCATAGAGGCAGCATTGCATAGAGCAGCATTGCATAGAGGCAGCATTGCATAGAGGCAGCATTGCATGGAGGCAGCATAGCATGGAGGCAGAATTGCATGGAGAGGGAGGCAGCATTGCGTGGAGGCTGCATTGCTGGAGGCAGCATTGCCTGGAAGCAGAATTGCATGAATAGGATACAGAGAATATGCGGGGGTGACAAATCCGCACGCTCTGTAATGATTATGCGTGTGTGAAGCGTTGGCCCTTGGAGCGTGCGGAGGGTTTCTCGCGCACAGACCGCTTCGTGAGGGTGCATGTATGACGTAGGCCGCAGGGGATCTGTGGGAACAGACACTCACTGAATGAGCGGCTATGTGATCATGCGTGCGTGGTGGATGCATGAAGTGAAGAGTAAATGCGTGTAATCGCAGAGCTGATGCGGGCTCTGCGTGTTGAGAATGTGGAGCAGCAATGTAGAGAGCTTTCTTCATACAAGATCTGCTATATTTGAGCATGCGTGTGTCAGCGTATGATACAGAGAATATGCGGGGGTGACGAGGCCGCACGCTCTGTAATGACTATGCGTGTAGAAGCGTGGGCCCTTGGGGCGTGCGGAGCTGCCTCTCGCGCACAGGCCGCTTCGTGAGGTGCGTGTTATAGCGTGAGCCGTAGGGGGTATATGCAGAGAAGCTTCTCTGCACAGAGCGCCCCCCCCACTGCGGTGAGCATGAATGTATGATGTAAGACAAGGTGATCATATGCATGTCCGGATTGAAGTGCAACGATGTTGAGAATGCTTATGTGAGAGAAGAGCCTTAGCCACCACCAGAGTATTTGATAATTACCTCAGATTGAAGAGGGAGCGCTGAGCAGTCAGATTGTGTCAGTGTTTAGTCTGATAGAGGATGAGGCAGGACCAAGCCGTGGACCATTGACCCATTTGCTGTAGGGAAGAGTGAGGAAGGCCCAGCAGGCTGCGAGTGCGGCGGCTATTCTAATCCAGCGGCCGGTATTGGAGAATCGGGGAGATACAGGAGACCGGCGGATTTATTAAATGGGCTTGGATACATTGCGCAAACATGACGTCATTTGACAGAGAGAGAAATAGCAGCCCATCTGATCTCCTCTCCGTGCATGGAGGAGTGCATTTCATCAGGTGTTTATCTGGACAGGGGAAAAAAAAATGCATAATGAAAGTGTGACGGCACCTTCCTTTCGGAGTGTTGAATGCAGGGATTATAGTGATAGGGGTAATAAGTCCTTGGGGCCAGGGTGCAGCTAACCATGGCCTTGATATGACCCCCAAAAACCCACGGACTAAGCCGCGTCCGTGAAAAAGAAATAAGTAAGTGGAAGAGGCGGGTGCCATCATGAAAGACGCCGTTCCGGCAGGCAGCAGCTGAAGCTGAGGTCAGCGCAGCACCTGCGAACAGGAAAACAGGGTTGCAGAGCGCGCAGGAGCCTGGGGATGAACCACGGCCTGAGGAATGACGTGCACTGCGAGGATGAGGCGGCCCAGCCCTGGAAGAGCAGCACCTGTTTGGGACGTGACAGAGGACAGGACGGACCAAGAGACCTTGGTCCTCCTCCTCCTATCCCTCTCTCTCCATGTCCAAGCTGAGGGAGCATCTACGAAACCTTCGATGAGGGTCATCACGTGTGCCGGGTGGCCAGTGTGACGGCCAGACGCCTGCCCGGCTTTGAGATGGACGGAGCCCCGCGTAGGAAGGGCATGCCCCGCGCGGGAATGACAGGGCCTATTGCTACGAGAATAATTCGCAAGGCGCGGGCGTGCAGCAAGAGCGCCCTGCAACATAAGGGAGAGATTAAACAAGAACCGACCGAATCTCCTTCTGGACAGGAGAGAGCTATCTTGATGCAATTAGGAACTCAGAACGACGGCAAAGAGCGGCCACGGAGCAGAATAAGTACGAACAGAGCGGCACCTGAGAACGAGCAGTGTAGAGCGAGCAACCGTTACGATGACTCAGAGCCATGAGAGTGCGGCAGAGAGCATGTGACCGTTGTGGATGCTGCCCCCGACTCCACGCGGAGAATCGGAGAGAGATCGCCCGTATGAGGCGTAGGGCGGATCAATTGCACGCGGTAGCAGTGAGGGAAGGCCAGAGCACGTTGGAGGATCCGGAGCAAACCGGCGGACGAGGGGGGGGAACATGCAAAACTCCGCACGGAGGTGGAACAAAGCATAAAACTACTTTTGATAAATCGACGGCAGCCTGCTCAGGATTAAAATGAAACACACTGCTGATGACCTGGGGCAACGCGTCCCTATGAGCAATATTTACTGTACACGGAGGGGGCTCGAGGATTTCAGTACGAGGGCCGCTTCAGTCCGCCAAACTAGTCCCGGGGCCGACACGTAGGCGAAACCGCATTGGACTGGTCCGAACTTTAGGACAAACTATGATAAGAACGAAGTTGGCTGATGACGACCTCCTGTCGTCTCGCTAGCTACAGATTAGCGGAGATTCGAGCCCGACCGGGAACAACAACATCTCCAGAACGGGTTACGACAGTCTATATTGGCTGCGCTGAAGTAGAATGGACGACACCGAATAAGTATTTTACGAACCCAGATTCCCTTGGCCTCAGTTGGAACAGGTTGTCTTGTAACGGAATAGCCCGACGACCAGCGAAGGTAACACACATCATCATTGCAAAGCATCTAATCATAATTACGATTAAACTAAGGAAAGTTTGACGAGAGCAGAGACAGCCCTGATGAGAACTGAGCGAAGCGAGCTTAAGACTATAAAACACATACGCATATACATATACATAATATATATGCACGCACGTATACTACGTACCTACATGTGCATGCACATATACAAGTCGAGTCCCTCCATGGCCTCGCACCAACATATAGTAGAGACATGTTAGTCCCATATGAACCAGCCCGGACTCTGAGGAGCACAGGGACTGGACACCTGTTAGTGTCCAGAGTCAGAACTAACGTGGGTAGGCTGCCTTTCAGATTCACACTGCTAAAATCTGGAACAATCTTCCTGAAGATGCGAGACAGGCCTCCTCTCTGACAATGTTTTAAACAAGGTCAAACATATATTTCTATCCTTCTTTTTAATGTTCTGTGAATATCTATGATTTTAATGCTTTCTTATTTTGTTCAGCACTTTGAATTGCCTTGTGTATGAATTGTGCTATACAAATAAACTTGCCATGCCTTGCTATACAACATGCATTCACATACGCCATTATGCGCGTGACAGGGCCATGAAGCTAAACGCACTTTCTTCACCTTATGGGAGCGTCCAAATCAGACAGGCGTCAAAAACTGCAGATTCCTCTTCACCCTGAGCGAGCAATATTACATTAGGCCTTTGTCTAGGGAGCAACCAAATCAGAGAGGCGCCAGAGCTGCAGATTCCTATTCACCTGAACGTGCAATATGTCGTTAAGCCTCGGAGACCGATACATTAAGCCTTAATACGAACAATTCGGCCTTAGAAGGAGACTGATTAGGGAAGACTCCAAAATGTAATTTTGCATGCCACCAAGCACGCTGGAGTTTGAACTGTCTCACGGAGGAGACTTGAGCAGCAGTGACACGGAGCCTGGACGTGTTTAAGGAGCGGCGCCAATAAGCACTGACGAGCAGATCAGAGCGGGTCAAAGCAGGAACAGACCCCAAACAAACGATGGCACGGGACAATCACGGGCCCGGGACAAGCACGTACGACGCAACCACAATGCGATTCATACGGGCAAACAGACCATGTCACGCCAGCGTGCGCCGCTTGTCTCTGTGAGCCAGGTTACATACGTGTCTGAAAGAGCCGAGTCGTAGAGAGGTGCAGCCTGGGAGCGGCAGCGGCAGGAACAGCAGCAGCGGCACGTGTAGTAGTAGGAGCAGCAGGAGCAGGCAGCAGCAGGAGCGGCAGCAGGAGCAGACAGCAGCAGGAGCGGCAGCAGGAACAGGCAGCAGCAGGAGCGGCAGCGGAACAGGCAGCAGCGGGAACAGGCATCAGTAGGAGCAGCAGGAGCAGGCAGCAGGAACAGGCTGCAGCAGGAGCGGCAGCAGGAACAGGCAGCAGCAGGAGCGGCAGCGGAACAGGCAGCAGCAGGAGCAGGCAGCAGGGACAGGCAGCGGTAGGAGCAGCAGGAGCGGCAGCAGGAACAGGCAGCAGCGGGAACAGGCATCAGTAGGAGCGGCAGGAACGGGGAGCAGGCATCAGTAGGAGCAGCAGCGGGAACAGGCATCAGTAGTAGCAGCAGGAACGGGGAGCAGGCATCAGTAGTAGCAGCAGGAACGGGGGAGCAGGCATCAGGGAACAGGCATTAGTAGGAGCAGCAGGGACCGGCAGCAGCGGCGGTCAGAGAACCATGCCATGGTTGTTTAAGAGCCTCAGGAAGCGTTGTTTGTCAGGATGTGGCTGCCTTTTAAACTGCCCGCTTTGCTCTGAGAGGGTTGGCAGGAGGCTGGCCTGGCTGTGTGATTGGCTGAGGCTCGAGGCTGGCAGAGCTGTGTGATTGGCTGAGGCTCGAGGCTGGCAGGCACTCGGTCTTTCAGTCTGAACATCCGCTTGAGCTTCATTTGTACAATGCCAAAAGCGACAAAAAGTAAGTTCAAATTGCTTGAAATCGGCAAAATGTGTCTTCATTTGACTCAAAAAGCAAAAAAGCCAGTAGAGGAAAACTAATTCTCCCGGTAATAAGGAAGAAATGGAACCACACTTGAAACGAGACGAAACGTTTTGTCCCATCGGAAAATGTTGTTTTATTACAGTTAAAATGTTCCCAATTTGCTGTCACTTTTGGTAGCGTTTTATTTTATTTATTTTTTCTCTCCGAGCTGTGGCCATATTACTCTATAATGGGATTTATTTTATTTTTCTGTTGTTGATTGAGCTTAAAAGCAGAAACAGTGCTACTCTCCTTTTTAATGTTTTCATAGGAACTGTACTTCTCCCAACATATTCAATGTATAGTTAATATTAAAAATGCAATACTGATTCTTTAAAAACCACAAAACAAAAGAAGTGATGAAAACATTAATGATTAGGGGGAACCAGATCATTGTCCATATTTGTGTTGATTTTTGTTGTTATTGTCACTTGTGTCTTGTGGCTGCAGACTCCCCCACGGCCCCCTCGGTCTTCCCGGTCAGACCCTGCACTTCTGAATCTGGAGACACGGTGACGCTGACGTGCCTGGCCACCGGCTTCCGTCCCGCCGCTGTGTCTTTCTCCTGGACGCAGAACGGCGGCGCGCTCAGTGACTCGCTGCAGTATCCGGCTGTGCTGAAGAACAAGCTGTACTCCGGGGTCAGTCAGGTCCGGGTCCGGCGCCAGGACTGGGACCTGCGCCACTCCTTCAAGTGCAGAGTGGAGCACGAGGGCGGGCTCCAAGGAAGTGGACTTTATCAAAGCAGGTAAGTCTTCTTGGAATGAGGAGAACGGTTTGTATGTTTGTATGTGTTTATATGTGTATGTGTATATGTATATGTGTGTATGTGTATGTGTATATGTATATGTGTATATGTGTATGTGTATGTGTATGTATATGTGTATATGTGTGTATGTGTATATGTGTATGTGTGTATATGTATTTGTGTGTGTGTATGTCTATATGTGTATATGTGTATGTGTATATGTGTAAGTGTATGTTATATGTGTGCATGTGTATATGTGTGTATGTGTATGTATATGTGTATATGTGTATGTGTATGTGTATATGTGTATATGTGTATGTGTATGTGTATATGTGTATGTGTATATGTGTATATGTGTATGTGTATATGTATATATGTGTATCTGTATATGTGTATGTGTATATGTGTGTATATGTGTGTGTGTATGTCCATCCATCCATCCATTTTCTTCCGCTTTATCCGTTGCCGGGTCGCGGGGGCAGCAGTCTAAGCAGAGACGCCCAGACTTCCCTATCCACACACACCCCTTCCAGCTCGTCTGGGGGGACCCCAAGGCGTTCCCAGGCCAGCTGAGAGACATAGTCTCTCCAGCGTGTCCTGGGTCTTCCCGGGGCCTCCTCCCGGTGGGACGTGCCCGGAACACCTCCCCAGGAAGGAGTCCAGGAGGCATCCTGAACAGATGCCCGAGCCACCTCAACTGGTTCCTCTCGACGTGGAGAAGCAGCGGCTCTACTCCGAGCTCCTCCCGTGTGACTGAGCTCCTCACCTTATCTCTAAGGGAGCGCCCAGCCACTCTGCGGAGGAAGCTCATTTCGACCGCTTGTATCCGCGATCTCGTTCTTTCGGTCATTACCCACAGCTCATGACCATAGGTGAGGGAGGGAACGAAGATTGACCGGTAAATTGAGAGCTTTGCCTTTCGGCTCAGCTCCCTCTTTACCACAACGGTCCGATACAGAGACCGCATCACTGCGCACGCTGCACCAATCCGCCTGTCAATCTCACGCTCCATCCTCCCCTCACTCGTGAACAAGACCCCGAGATACTTGAACTCCTCCACTTGAGGAAGGACCTCTCCACCCACCTGAAGAGGGCAAGGCACCTTTTTCCGGTCGAGCACCATGGCCTCGGATTTGGAGGTGCTGATTCTCATCCCAGCCGCTTCACACTCGGCTGCAAACCGTCCCAGTGCATGTTGCAGGTCCTGGTTCGTTGGAGCCAACAGGACAACATCGTCCGCAAAAAGTAGAGATGAAATCCTGTGGTTCCCGAACCGGACCCCCTCCGGCCCCTGGCTGCGCCTAGAGATTCTGTCCATAAATACAGTGAACAGAACCGGTGACAAAGGGCAGCCTTGGCGGAGGCCAACATGCACCGGGAACAGGTCTGACTTACTGCCGGCAATGCGAACACAGCTCTGACTCCGGTCATACAGGGACCGAACAGCACTCAGCAGAGGACCCCGGACCCCGTTCTCCCGGAGGACCCCCAAAGGACACGCGGGGAACACGGTCAAACGCCTTCTCCAAATCCACAAAGCACATGTGGACAGGTTGGGCGAACTCCCATGAACCCTCGAGTATCCGATGGAGAGTATAGAGCTGGTCCAGTGTTCCGCGACCGGGACGAAAACCACACTGCTCCTCCTGAATCCGAGATTCGACCATCGGACGTAGCCTCCTCTCCAGTACCTTGGAGTAGACCTTACCGGGGAGGCTGAGGAGTGTGATCCCACGATAATTGGAACACACCCTCCGGTCCCCCTTCTTGTAGAGAGGGACCACCACCCCGGTCTGCCACTCCATTGGCACCGCCCTCCTGCCTCCTGGACGGAGGACGTGACGGGGGGATTGAGGAGAACCTCGAAGTATTCCTTCCACCGCCCGACAATATCCCCAGTCGAGGTGTGTGTATGTGTAAATGTGTATATGTGTATATATGTGTGTGTGTTTATATGTGTATGCATCAAACTGAAGTTTCCCCATTAAGACCTTCTTCTTCTTCTAATAGTAACTCCCTTCTGTTTATATAATTATCCTTTGTGTGCACGTATTCCCCTTTATCTTTCAGATGAAACCATTCAATTGCCGAGCCTTAAAATAATGTCAATGGAAGAAAGCAATCAAGTCACCTTCTCCTGTCTGGCAAACGATTTTGTCCCCAACATCTTTGAGTTTAAATGGCTGAAAAATGGAAAAGTGGTAAAAAACGCGAGCCTGGAGTTCACCACACCCTCCACGGCCGTGAGCTCCGACGACGGGACCAGGTTTTCAGCCGCGAGTTTCCTGACGCTGCCCAAGGAGACCCTGGTCGACGATACGAGGATGACGTGCGAGTTCAGCCTCCAGCGAGGGGCCAAGAAGCAGCAGGTGGAGTCCGTGCTGGAGTACAGGACCAGAGAGTGCAGTAAGTACAACAACAGTACAAGTGTATATATTACTACAATCATTCATTCATTATCATATTTAACAGTACTTGTGGATATTTCATTTCATTTGTTGAGTTTTAAAATGTAAGGTGTAAAGCAAAGGATGAGGGAAATTGGACTTGCTTTAAAGGTGATGTCCGTAACTTTTAAGTGTGTTTCAATTTCAAAATAATGTGTTTTACTGACGCTGTATTATCATGAGCAGTATTGAAGTATTTTTCAACAGTAATATAACAGACCCTCAGTAGCATAACTACCACCATCAAGATTTGCGGGAGGAAAAACAGTTAAACCAATGACGAGAGGCCTCAAGAATTGTAAATGATTTGTGCCAATCTGGAGGCTGTGGGGGCGAGCGTGGGCAGGTCTCACTCTCTCAGTTTGAAAAGTACATGACAGGCATTTTACTGTCTTATTTTTACAGTTGCTCCAAAGGAAAAAAAACATGTTAACAAATAACAAATGTGACCTTTCTAAGAATATTTACATCCACCATGTTTTTGAATTGTTTTCATTGGCATAAAATTCAATGCACCATCTTGAAATACATTGGGGACAAAAAGAATGTGAGAATTGCATTTTTGTTTCACAGGTGCTACTAATAATATTTGAAGTAGGAAACATGGACCCCATGAACGACCCCAACAAGAGTCTTTTAAAAAAGAGAATTATGCAAAAAATCTAGAAACCCTCGTCATACAGCAAACTGTCAACATGGCAAACACACACAAAAGAGATTAAACAATAAGAGGCACATACAAAACACAGAACAAAACAATCTCCAGAACACTTTATCAACAGCGTGAGTTTGAATGTTCTGTTGAATGGAAAACAGAATGTTCAACATCATTCATTTACTCGACAACTCAACGACTGTTCATGTAACTGGTCCATATTGTGTGTTTATTGTTAACCAGGAGAGTAAGAGTTGGAGAACCTACATTTGAAAAGAACACAAAAAAATAACCATGTAATAAATCCATGTGGCTTGTCCTTCGCTCTAAAAAAGTGTGGCTCTTGTTTTCACTGTGTTGGCTCATGCCACATCTTAAGTTTTTTTTTAGATAGAAAAGTGATAAAGAGAGGACCACCTTCACTCAGCCAATCAGCTCTCAATGTAAACAATCACATGTGAACTTCTGAAACACAGATAGCCTGTGGTGGTTTGTTCACAAAATGTTTTCTACACAAGACTATTATTTAGGAATTCAAATGTCATAAATGAAACTTTACTCCAGCTTTAACACATTATTGTTTCCTCTCCGTTTCAGGCACGCAGGAAGGTTTTGACATGAAAATCATCCCGCCCTCTTGGGAAGACTTGTTGCTTAAGCGCAATGGGGAGGTCCGGTGTGAAGTGACGTTCCCAAAGGCAGCTTAGTGAGCAGAGAGGTCAATCTGTCCTGGAGGGATGAGAAGATGGGTGTGCTGATGACCCCCACTGACCCCGGGGCCCAAATCAATGGAAAACGCATCATTCTCCCTCTGGATATCACGTTTGAAGAGTGGAACAGTGGCGTCCGGCGCACCTGTCTGCTGGACCACGGCGAGCTGCTCGAGCCACTCAAAAGAGTCTATGAGAGGAAGGATGGTGAGTTTGTGTTCTACAGTTGCATTGTCTTTGAGTCTAAAAGCACTATAAAAGTTTGAGATGAGTTATTATTAGTATTATTAGTTTCAAAAATGATTGAGTTTGCTTTGTAAAAAATATCTCACTCAATATTATATGCATCACTAAAGATTATCACAACAGCCAACAAAGTCAACTAAGGCTGGAGTTTAATCTGCAGCAACATGTGTTTAAGGAAAGAATATGTTTCATGAAAATGGTTTTCACAACATTTATGATGAAAATCCTGATCAAAAACGTATTATTATTATTTGCGTTTTTCACCTTGTTGCCATGCCAACCTACAAACTGGTCCAATCGTACCAACAGGTTATATTCATAAAAAGCATCAAAAATCAATCTTAAAACAAGATTAGATTTTATTCTTTAAACTAACAAGTATTTTAAATGACTAAATGATAGAACGTATATGGTGAAACAAGTATGAAGGATTTAAGCAAAGGAAGGTTTCTCACCCATCATCTGTACTTCTTAGCAAGTTTTCCCGACGTTTCGTCCTCAAACTAGCGGACTTCTTCAGGGAATGAATTCTCGGACCGCGCGTTGGAGATTTATAACCTTATGGGTGTGGTTAGCCACACCCTAATCCTGATACTAACTCATAAACAATCTAAGGGTGTAGAAGGTTAGCTCTCACACCACTAATCCTGATACTAACTCATAAACCTTCCTAATAATTACGTTGGTGATTCAGGATGTTCCATCACATTTTCATGGAAACATCTTCTTTTCCTTAAACACATGTTGCTGCCGATTAAACTCCAAGCCTTATTGACTTTGTTGGCTGTGTGGGATAATCTTAGTGATGCATCTAATATTGAGTGAGATATTTTTACAAAGCAAACTCAATCATTTTTGAAACTAATACATACTAATAATAAAACTATCACTTTTTTAGTGCTTTTAGACTCAAAGGACCAATGCAACAGTAGAACACAAATACCATCCTTCCTCTCATAGACTCTTTTGTGTGGCTCGAGCAGCTCGCGTGGTCCCAGCAGGACAGGGTGCGCCGACCGGCCACTGTTCCACTCTTCTCAAACGTGATATCCAGGGGAGAATGATGCGTTTTCCAGTGATTTGGGCCCGGGTCAGTGTGGGTCATCAGCACAACCCATCTTCTAATCCCTCAGGACAGATTTGACCTCTTGCTCACTAAGCTGCCCTTTGAACGTCCTTCCACCGGACATCCCATTTGCGCTTAAGCATACAAGTTTCCAAGAGGGGCGGGATGATTTTCATGTCAAAACCTCTCCTGCGTGCCTGAAACGGAGACGAAACAATAATGTGTTAACTGCTGGAGTAAAGTTTCATTTTATGACATTTGATTCTAAATAATAGTCCTTGTGTAGAAAACATTTTGTGAACAAACCATACAGGCTATCTGTGTTTCAGAAGTTCACATGTGATGTTTACATTGAGAGCTGATGGCCTGAGTGAAGGTGTGGTCCTCTCTTTTCACTATTCTATCTAAAAAAACCTGAACTTAAGATGTGGCATGAGCCAAACACAGTGAAACAAGAGCCACACTTTTTAGAGCGAAGACAAGCACATGGATTTATCATGGTTATCTTTTTGGTGTTCTTTCAAATGTTAGGTTCTCCAACTCTTTACTCTCCTATTTAACATTAAACACACAAATGGACCAGTTACAAGTGATACAGTCGTTGAGTTGTCGGTAAAATGGAATGATGGTTGCAACATTCTGTTTTCCATTCAACAGGAACATTCAAACTCACGCTGTTGATAAAGTGTTCTGGGATTTTTTTTTTCTGTGTTTGTATGTGCCTCTTATTGTTCTTAAACTCTTTTGTGTGTGTTTGCCATGTTGACAGTTTGCTGTACTGACGAGGGTTTCTCAGATTTTTGACATACATATTATCTTTTTAAAAGACTCTTGTTGGGGTCGTTCATGAGGTCCCTGTTTCCTACTTCAATTATTATTAGTAGCACCTCGTGGAAACAAAATGCAATTCTACATTCTTTTTGTCCCCAATGTATTTCAAGATGGTGCATTGAATTTTATGCCAATGAAAACAATTCAAAAACACTGGTTGGATGTATAAATTCTTAGAAAGGTCACATTTGTTTATTTGTTCACATGTTTTTTTTTCCTTTGGAGCAACTGTAAAAATAAGACAGTAAAATGCCTGTCATGTACTTTTCAAACTGAGAGAGTCGAGACCGGCCCCACGTCGCCCCCACAGCTCCAGATTGGCACAAATAATTTACAATTCTTGAGGCCTCTCGTCATTGGTTAACTGTTTTTCCTCCGCAAATCTTGATGGTGGTAGTTTTTTTATGCTACTGAGGGTCTGTTATATTAGTTGACAAATACTTCATACTGCTCATGATAAATACACGCGGCAGTAAAAAAATTATTTTGAAATTGTAACACACTTAAAAAGTTACGGACATCACCTTTAAAGCAAGTCCAATTTCCCTAGCCTTGCTTTACACCTTACATTATAAAATCTAACAAAATGAAAATGAAATTTCCACAAATACTGTTAATATGATAATGAATGATGTTTGTTGTAATATTACATTTGTACGGTTGTTGTACTTACTGCACTCTCTGGTCCTGTACTCCTGGCACGGACTTCCACCTGCTGCTTCTTGTGCCCATCGCTGGAGGGTCTGAACTCGCACGTTCATTCCTCGTATCGTCGACCAGGGTCTCCCTTGGGCAGCGTCAGGAAACTCTGCGGCTGAACAACCTCGGGCCCGCGTCGGAATAGCTCACGAGTGCGACGGGCATTGTTGTGGTGAACTCCAGGCTCGCTCGTTTTTTACCACTTTCCATTTTCAGCACATTTAAACTCAAAGATGTTGGGAACAATCGTTTTGCCTCGACAGGAGAAGGTGACTTGAGTGCGTTCTTTCCATTGACATTATTTTAAGGCACGGCAATTGAATGGTTTCATCTGACTAGATAAAGGGGAATACGTGCACCAAAGGATATATAATATAAACAGACAGGGAGTTACTATTAGAAGAAGAAGAAGGTCGTTAATGGGGAATACTTTCAGTTGATGCATACACATATAAAACCACATCAGGCATATATACACACTTACACATTTACACATACACACACTCGACTGGGGGATATTGTCGGGCTGGGGTGGATGGAATACTTCGAGGTTCTCCTCAATCCCCACGTCACGTCTCCGTCCAGGAGGCAGGAGGGCGGGTTGGCCAATTGGAGTGGCGTCGGGGTGGTTGTCCTCTCTACATGAAGGGGGACCGGAGGGTGGTTCAATTATCGTGGGATCACACTCCTCAGCCTCCCCGGTAAGGTATACTCCCAGGTACTGGTGAGGAGGCTGTCCCGATGGTCGAATCTCGGGATTCAGGTGGTGCAGGTGTGTGGGTATTTCGTACATGGTCGCGGAACACTGGACCAGCTCTATACTCACCATCGGGATACTCGAGGGTTCATGGGAGGGATTCGCCCAACCTGTCCACATGTGCTTGTGGATTGGAGAAGGCGTTTGACCGTGTTCCACGCGTGTCCTTTGGGGGGTCCTCGGGAGAACGGGGTCCGGGGTCTCAGCTGAGTCCTGTCTCGGTCCCTGTATGGACCGGAGTCAGAGCTGGTGTTCGCATTGCCAGGGCAGTAAGTCAGAACTGTTCCCGGTGCAATGTTGGCCTCCGCCAAGGCTGCCCTTTGTCACCGGATTCTGTTCACTGTATTTAGGGGGACAGAATCCTAGGCGCAGCAGGGGCCGGGAGGGTGGTCCGGTTCGGGAACCACAGGATTGCTAATCTGCTACTTTTTGCGGCACGATCGTTGTCCTGTTTGCTCCAACGATCCAGGACCTGCAACATGCACTGGGACGGTTGCAGCGAGGTGTGAAGCGGGCTGGGATGAGAAACAGCACTCCAATCCGAGGCCATGGTGCTCGACCGGAAAAAAAGGTGCCTTGCCCTCTTCAGGTGGGGTGGAGACGGTCTTCTCAAGTGGAGGAGTTCAAGTATCTCGGGGTTTTGTTCACGAGTGAGGGGAGGATTGGAGCGTTGGAGATTGACAGGCGGAGATTGGGTTGCAGCGTTGCGCAGTGATGCGTCTCTGTATCGGACGTTTGTGGTAAAGAGGAGCTGAGCCGAAAGCAAAGCTGCTTCAATTTACGTGGTCATCTTCGTTCCTCCCTCAACCTTATGGTCATGAGCATGGGGGTGGGGTAATGACGATTAAAGAACGAAGATCGCGGGATACAATAGCCGGTCGAAATGAGCGTCCTCCCGCAGAGTGGCTGGCGTCGGCTCCACTTAGAGAGAAGGTGAGGAGATCAGTCACACGGGAGGTGCTGGAGTAGTAGCCGCTTGCTTCTCCACGTCGAGGGAACCAGTTGCAGGTGGCTCGGGCATCTGTTTCAGGATTCCTACGGACTCCTTCCTGGGGAGGTGTTCCGGCACGTCCCACCGGGAGTGAGGCCACTGGGGACGACCAGGACACGCTGGAGGAGACTATGTCTCTCAGCTGGCTGGGAAACGCCTGGGGTCCCCCCAGACGGCTGAAGGGCGTTGTGTGTGGATAAGGCAAAGTCTGCATGGGCGTCTCTGCTTAGACTGCTGCCCCCGCGACCCGGCAACGGAATAAAGCGGAAGAAAATGATGGATGGGATGGACATACACACACTAATACACACATATACACATACACTATACAGACACATATATACATATACCCATACCACATATACACCTTATAACAATACACATATACACATACACATACACATATACAACATCAACAATTACACAGTACACATTACCACATATACGAACACTCCACACCTATACACATGCACACATATACATAACATCACATATTACAAATACACATATTACACATATAGACATACACACACACAAATACATATACACACTAAACACTTATACACATACTCACATATACAAACATTTATACATACAATACACTACACATATACACATATACCACCAACATATACCATACACATCACACATTTACTATACACATACACATTAAAACATACAACATACTAAATCGTTCATCCTCATTCAGAAGACTTACCTGCTTTGATAAAGGTCCCACTTCCTGGAGCCGCCCTCGTGCTCCACTCTTGCACTTGACGGAGTGTTGGGCCGGTTCCCAGTACTTGGCGCCGGACCCGGGACACCTGACTGACTCCCGGAGGACGCTTTGTTCATCAGCACTGACGGATACTGCAGCGAGAGTCACTGGCGCGCCGCCGTTTCTGCGTACAGGGAGAAAAAGACACAGGGCAGGCGCCGGAAAGCCGGTGGCCAGGCACGTCAGCGTCACAGTGTCTCCAGAGTCGAAGTGCAGGGTCTGAACGGGAAGAAGACGAGGGGGGCGTGGGGGAGTCTGCAGCACAAGACACACGGACAATAACAACAAAATCAACACAAATGATGGACAATGATCTGGTTCCCACTAATCATTAATGTTTCAACTCTTTTGTTTTGTGGTTTTAAAGAATTCAGAATTGATTTTTAATATTAACTATACATTGAATATGTTTGGGAGAAGTACCGTTCATATGAAAAACATTAAAAAAAAGGAGAGTGAGTAGCACTGTTTTCTGCTTTTTAAGCTCAATCACCAACAGAAAAATTAAAATACTCGCCATGTATAGAGTAATTTGGCCACAGCTCGGATGAGAAAAACGATAAATAAAATAAAACGCTACCAAAAGTGACAGCAAATTGGAACATTTTACTGTATTAAAACAACATTTTCGATGGGACAAAACGTTCGTCTCGTTTCAGTGTGGTTCCTTTTCTTCCTTATTACCGGGGAGAATTGTTTTCCTTACTGGCTTTTATGCTTTTTGAGTCAAATGAGACACATTTTGCCGATTTCAAGCAATTTGAAATTACTTTTTGTCGCTTTTGGCATTGTAACAAATGAAGCTCAAGCGGGGATGTTCAGATGAAAGACCGAGGTGCCTGCCAGCTCGAGCCTCAGCAATCACAAGCTCTGCCAGCCTCGGCCTCAGCCAATCACACAGCCAGGCCAAGCCTCTGCCACCCTCTCAGAGCCAAAGAGGGCAGTTTAAAAGGCAGCCACTTCCTGAAAAAAAAAACAAACAACGGCTTCATGAGGCTCTTAAACAACCATGGGTGGTTCTCCTGACCGCCGCTGCTGCTTGGGGTCCTGCTGCTCCTACTAATGCCTGTTCCCTGATGCTGCTCCCCGTTCCTGCGCGTACTACTGATGCCTGCTCTCGTTCCTGCTGTAATATGATGCCTGTTCCGCTGCTGCTCCTACTGATGCCGGCTCCCCTTTCCCTGCCGCTCCTACTGATGCCTGTTCCCGCTGTCTGCTGTTCATGCTGCCGCTCTGCTGCTACTACCGCTGCCTGTCCTGCTGCCTGCTCCTGCTGCGCCTGTTCCGCTGCCGCTCCTGTCTGCTGCCTGTTCCTGCTGCCGCTCCTGCGCAGCATGTTTCCTGCTTGCCTGCTCTGCTGCTCCTATGTATGCCTGTTCCCGCTGCTCTGCTGCTGTTTTTTCGCTAGCCGCTCCTGTGCTGCCTTGTTTCCTGCTGCCGCGCATGCTGCTGTCTGCTCTGCTGCCGCTCCTGCTGTGCTCTGTCCTGGCTGCTCCCTACTACTACACGTTGCGCTGCTGCTGTTACTGCCCTGCCGCTCCCAGGCTGCACTCCTCTCTACGACTGGCTCTTTCAGACACGTATGTACTGGATCCAGGAGACATGCGGCGAACGTGGCGTGACATGGTCTGTTTGCCCGTTTGAATGCGATTGGTGGTTGCGTCGTTACGTGCTTGTCCCGGGGCCCGTGATAGTCCGTGCATAGTTTGTTTGGGGTATGTTCATGCCTTTGGACCCGCTCTGATTCTGCTCGTCAGTGCTTATTGGCGCCGCACCTTAAACACGTCCAGGCTCCGTGTCACTGCTGCTCAAGTCTCCTCGTGAGTACGTTCAACTCCAGCGTTGCTTTGTGGCTGCAAAATTACATTTTGGCAGGTCCTTCCCTAATCAGTTCTCTTCTAAGGCCCGAATTGTTCGTTTAAGGCTTAATGTATCGGTCTCCGAGGCTTAAACGACATATTGCACGTTCAGGGTGAATAGGAATCTGCAGCTCTGCGCCTTTTGATTTGGTTGCTCCCTAGACAAAGGACCTAATGTAATATTGCTCGCTCAGGGTGAAGAGGAATCTGCCAGTTTTTGACGGCCGGGTCTGATTTGGACGCTCCCATAAGGGTGAAGAAAGTGCGTTTAGCTTCATGGCCCTGTCACGCGCATAATGGCGTATGTGAATGCATGTTGTCTATAGCAAGCATGGCAAGTTTATTAGTATAGCACAATTCATACACAAGGCAATTCAAAGTGCTGAACAAAAATAAGAAAGCATTAAAATTATAGATATTCACAGAACCTATAATAGAACGGTTTGATATATATGTTTGACCTGTCAGTTTAAACATTGTCAGAGAGGAGGCCTGTCTCGCATCTTCAGGAAGCATTGTTCCAGATTTTAGCAGTGCTGAATTCTGAAAGCAGCCTACCCACGTTAGTTCTGACTCTGCGACACTAACAGGTGTCCAGTCCCTAGTGCCCTCAGAGTCGCCGGGCTGGTTATAATGGACTATCATGTCTCTATATATGTTGGTGCGAGGCCATGGCGGGACTTCGACTTGTATATGTGCATGCAACTGGTGGTATGTAGTATTACGTAGCGTGCTTATTTATTATGTATATGTATATGCGTATGTCGTTTTATAGTCTTAAGCTCGCTTCGCTCAGTTCATCAGGGCTGTCTCTGCTCTCTGTCAAAACTTTCCTTAGTTTAATCGTAATTATGATTAGATGACTTTGCAATGATGATGTGTGTACCTCTCGCTGGTCGTCGGGGCTATTCTGCCGATACAAGTCAACCTGTTCCAACTGAGGCCAAGGGAATCTGGTTCGTCAATACATATTCGTTGTCGTCCATTCTACTTCAGCGCAGCCAATTAGAAGTGTGTAACCGTCTGAGCTGTTGTTGTTTCCCTGGTCGGGCTCGAATCTCCGCCTAATCTGTAGATAGCGAGACGACTGGGACGGTCGTCATCAGCCAACTTCTGTTTTTCATAGTTTGTCCTAAAGTTTCGGACCAGTTCCAATTCGTTTCGCTACGTGTCGGCCCGGGACTAGTTTGGCGGACTGATTAGGCCTCGTACTGAAATCCTCGAGCCCCCTCCGTGTACAGTAAATATTGCTCATAGGGACGCGTTTGCCCCAGGTTCTATCAGCAGTGTGTTTCATTTTATCCTGAGCAGGCCTGCCGTTCGATTATCAAAAGAGTTGTTTATGCTTGTTCCAACTCCGTGCGGAGTTTTGCATGTTCCCCCTCGTCCGGACCGGTTAGCTCGGATCTCCACGTGCTCTGTCTTCCCTCACTGCTACGCGTGCATTTGTTCCGCCCTACGCCTCATCCGGGACGATCTCTCTCGATTCTCCGCGTGGAGTCGGTGGGCGCATCCACATACGGTCACATGCTTCTCTGCCGCACTCTCATGGCTCTGATGTCATCGTATCGGTCTGCATCGCTTACTGCTCGTTCTCCAGTGCCGCTCTGTTAGTTATTATTCTGCTCCGTGGCGCCTCTTTGCCGTCGTTCTGAGTTCCTAATTGCTTCAAATAGCTCTCTCTGTCCAGAAGAGATTCGGTCGGTCTTGTTTAATTCTCTCCCGTATGTTCGCAGGGCCGCTCTTAGCTGCATACGGCGGCCTTGCGAATTTTCTCGTAGCAATAGGCCCTGTCATTCCCTCGCGGGGCATTGCCCTTCCTACGCGGGCTCGTCCATCTCAAGCCGGGAGGCGTTTTCTGGCCGGTCACACTGGCCACCGGCACACGTGATGACCCTCATCGAAGGTTTCGTAGATGCTCCCTCAGCGTTGGACATGGAGAGAGGGGTGATAGAGGAGGAGGACCAAGGTCTCTTGGGTCCGTTCCTGTCCTCTGTCACGTCCCCAAACAGGTGCTGCTCTTCGGCTGGGCGCCTCATGCTCGCAGTGCAACGTCTTCCGCAGGCGTGGTTCATCCCAGGAATCCTGCGCGCTCTGCAACCTGTTTTCCTGTTGCAGGTGCTGCGCTGACATCAGTTCAGCTTATGCTGCTGCGGAACGGCGTCTTTCATTTGAATGGCACGCGATCTTCCACTTACTTATTTCTTTCTTCACGGACGCGGTTAGTCCGTGGGCGTTTTTGGGGGTCATATCAAGGCCAGTGGTTAGCTGACCCTGGCCCCAAGGACTTATTAACCCCTATCACTATAATCCGCATTCAACACTCCGAAAGGTATGGTGCCGTCACACTTTCATTATGCATTTTTTTTCCCGCTGTCCAGGATAAAACCCTGATGAAATGCACTCCTCATGCACGGAGAGGAGATTCAGATGGGCTGCTATTTCTCTCTCTGTACAACATGACGGTCATGTCCTTGCGCAATTTATCCAAGCCCATTTTAATAAATCCGGCCGGTCTCCTGTGATCTCCCGCATTCTCAATACGGGCCGTGGATTAGAATAGCCGCGCACACTTCCAGCCTGCTGGGCCTTCCTCACTCTTCCCTACAGCAAATGGTGTCAATGGGGTCCACGGCTTGTCCTGCCGCATCTCTATCAGACTAAACACTGCACTATTCTGACTGCCCTCAGCGCTCCCTCTTCAATTGAGCGTAATTTATCAAATACTTGGTGGTGGCTAAGGTCTCTCTCACATAAGCATTCTCAACATCGTTTGCACTTCAATCCGGACATTTGCATATGATACCTTGTCTTACATCATACATTCTATGCTCACCGCACTGCGCTCTCGTGCAGAGAAGCTTCTCTGCAAACCCCTCGGCCTCACTGCTATACTCGACCCTGCACGAACTGGCCTGTGCGCGAGGGGCAGCTCCGCACGCCCAAGGGCCCACGCTTCTACACGCATAGTCATTACAGAGCGGGCGGCCTCGTCACCCCCGCATCTTCTCTGTATTCATACGCTGAAACACGTCATGCTCAAATATATAGCAGATCTGTATGAGAAAGCTCTTATACATTGCTGCTCAATTCTCAACAGCAGAGCCCGCATCAGCTCTGCGATTCCACGCATTTATCTACAATGCAGGCATCCACACTGCACGCTTGATCACATAGCCGCTCATTCATGTGCGATGTCTGTTCCCACAGATCCCTGCGGCCTACAGTCATTAATGCACCCTTCACGAAGCGGTCTTGTGGCGCGAGAAACCCTCCGCACGCTCCAAGGGCCCACGTTCCACACACGCATAAATCATTACAAGAGCGTGCGGATTTGTCACCCCGCATATTCTCTTGTATTCCTATTCATGCAATTTGCTTCCAGGCATGTGCCTCCATGCCAATGCAGCCTCCACACGCAATTGCTGCCTCCAGGCTATGCGATGCCTCCATGCAATTCTGCCTCCATGCTAATGCTTCCTCCATGCATTGCGTGTTACCTCTATGCAATGCTGCCTTATGCAATGCTGCCTCTATGGCATTGGTGCCTCTAGCAATGTTGCCTCCATTGCAATTATTGCTCAAAGCTGCAATGCTGCCTCCTGCAATGATGCAATGCTGCCTCTATGCAATGCTGCCTCTATGCAATCATTGCAATGCTGCCTTATGCAATGCTGCCTCCATGCAATGATGCAATGCTGCCTCTATGCAATGCTGCCTCTATGCAATGCTGCCGCTATGCAATCAATGCACTGCTGCTATATGCTCAATGCTGCCTCCATGCAATCTATGCAATGCTTGCATCCATGCAATGCTGCAATGCGCCTCCATGCCATTGATGCAAGCTGGCCCTGTGCAATGCTGCCTTTGCTATGCAATCCATGCAATGCTGCCTCAATCAATCTGCCTCCATGCATTGCTGCCTCTATGCAACTATGCAAAGCTCAATTGCTGCCTCTATCAATCTCTGCAAATGCTGCCATGCTGCCTCCATTGAAATGATGCTATGCAGCCTCTATGCAATGCTGCGGCCTCTATGCAATCCAAGCAATGCTGCTCTCTGCATGCTGCCTCATGCAAATCTATGCTATGCTGCCCTCATGCAATGCTGCCTCCATGCAATGATGCAATGCGTGGCTCTATGCAATCTGCCTTTAGCCAATCCATGCAATGCTGCCTCCTATGCAATGCTGCCCCAATGCTGCCTCTATGCAATGCTGCCTCTATGCAATCCATGCAATGCTGCCTCTATGCAATGCTGCCTCCATGCCAATGCTGCCTCTATGCAATCTATGCAATGCTGCCTGCTATGCAATGCTTGCATCTATGCAATGCTGAGCTATTCAATGCTGCCTCGTGCATACTAGCAATGCTGCCTATGCAATGCTGCCTCTATGCAATGCTGCCTCTATGCAATGCTGCTTCAATGGCAATCTATGCATGCTGCCTCTATGCAATTATGCAATGCTGCTTAAGCAATCTATGCAAAAAAAATGCTGCCTCTGATGCAATGCTGCCTCTTATGCAATGCCTGCCTCTTTGCAATCTAATGCATTGCAGCTCTATGCAATGCAGGCCTCTCTGCAATGCAGCCTCCACGCAATGCCGCCTCTATTGCAATGCTGCCGAAGCAATGCTGCCCCGATGCAATGCTGCCCCGATGCAAGGGTCCCACGCCTCCAGATAGGCAGCTTCCCACGGGAGGCCTGCGCATTCCGGCACACATAGCGTGGCGTCTCTTGTGGGGGATCTGAGATATTCTCAGCTGCATCGATCTCATAGCTGCAAGTGTTCACTGCCGGGGTTCAAATGCCGCCAAACAAATAATCATTTTAATGTATTTATCGTTCTTTGGTCTCTTCAGATTGAAATGAAGCTCAAGCGGATGTTCAGACTGAAAAGACGAGTAGCCTGCCAGCCTCGGCTCAGCCAATCACACAGCTCTGCCGCTCGAGCCTCAGCCAATCACACACTGGCCAGCCTCCTGCCAACCCTATCCGAGCAAAGCGGGCAGTTTTAAATGCAGCCACTTTCTGACAAACAAACGCTTCCTGAGGTCCTTAAAACCACCACCTCCCAGCACCCCCTCTGGCTCTTGGCTTCACGCTATGGCTCCCGCTATGGCTCCCGACTCTAGGCTCAAGTCAAAATACCAGAGTCACAGTTTACAAAGTCAGTGATCCAACAAAAAAACATTTTGATTTCTTTTCTTGGTTCAAAGTAATTTAAATTGTTTGTTGCTTAGTATGAACAAAAGGTGAATTATTTGTGTTTTAAATAGTTTGACTTACCAGATGCAACAGTGACCATGGTTCCTTTTCCCCAGTAAAAAAAAGCATCATCACAGTGCATGGTTCTGTCCTTCACGTCGTACCAAAACCAGTCTATTCTTTATTCATTGTCAAACCATAAAATTAAATAGATTTCTGTTAAATTTACAAATGTTATATTGATGGATGACAGCCGTTCAATGTATGTGTTTATTTAGACACTAAAATAATCCTGTTTAAGCTAAAATCAGAGCAAATTCACACTATGTCAAAGATTGCACTAATAACTTTTGTGTCTGAAATCAAAAATAAAAATGAAAGAACATTTGTATTTTTTAGAGTTTTTTTTAAACTGTGATGACGCACAATTTTAAGACTCGTCCAACTTTCGAAGAATCTCTTTGTGACGATTGCCAATATTTTACTATTATGTTAAAATGTCACAAAAAGCACACCAATTAAATAGAAAAATACATCATAACGATTCTTTTTGTACCTGATGTGACGGTCCCCGCAGATCCTTTTTACCAGGATATATAGACTTTACACATCGCAGTGGATTATTTCAATGTTATGTCAACTCTAAACAACTGAAGCATAAAAAATGAAAACAAATAAATGGAATATTGACATTTTGGACTTACCAGACGTTACAGTGACCTGTGTTCCTTTTCCCCAACACTTCTGTCGTACATCCACATGTTCCACAAATACTGCTTTAATAAAAAACTGTGGAGCCTGCATTATGAACTATTATAAGTCATTCCCAGAGGTTTTTATTTCCTTTTCAACTAGACACTAGGTTCCTCTTTTTCTCCAGTGCTCCCAGCTGTCGTTTTGAATTTGACAAACGCACAACGTAAAACACTAAGCATAAGGATTATTGGCTTTATCCAAAATGATCAGCCACAAATCAAAGGCGTCTCATAACTTTGGAACAGGAGTTTCAAATATAATTGCTAAGTAGGGCAGGGCTTGTTTGTACTGTGATGGGAGACCTTTGGGAAAGTTGAGTTTTTATTCTTGATATAACATTGTCCATCATCAAAAGCAGTATTTCTCTTCATTGATGCTAATATCATGGTCTTTTGACACAAACACATCCCTGCTCCATCTTTACACATGCTCTCATTACATACTTGGTGCACTTTAATGTTCAGAGGAGCTTTTGCTTTTTTAAAACAAAAATCATGCCTTCTAATTTGTTTTGGCAATTTCCCGAGTGAAGGGATGTTATTTATGCTGTAGCTAAAGTTCCACAACAGTAAAACACTGGGTTCTGAAAGATCTGCCACATGGTGGAACGGAGGAGGACTCCAAATGCAGGAAATGCAAAATAAGGATTTAATAAAGATGATAAAATAGGTAAAAACATCCTCAAAACCCAAACAAAAGTCAGGATCCAGAAAAACAGACGGACAAAGACAAGCAGAGACTATGGACCAAAGCGAGAGGAGCACAGGGCACATCATAAATATTATTATTATTATTCTAAAGATAAATGTATCTTTAAAAAAACTAATATTTATGAATCGGTTTTGCATTTTAAATAATAAATAATAAATTGAAAATGTAGGGAGAAATACAGTTCCTATAAAAAACAAAAGTAGAATAGCAGTGTTAACATTCTTATCTGTTTCTGCTTTTAAGCTCAATCAACAACGAAGAAGAATAAATAACCTTGGTTTTCCATAATAGTGTAGTAAGGCCACGGCTCGATTCATTACTCAAGATTTTCAGTCCATTTTGAAGACTTGTTTCTGCCGTTGTTCAGTTCCATTGAAGCATGAGTTTTTGTATGGGTG